CCAGCCATTCCTTCTACGCAGTTCCTCTGATGTTTGTCAAGCTGCTGTACATAAGGCTGGCTTCGCTGCAGGTTGAGAGAGAGAAATACAGAACCTGAATCTTTCCCTCCATTCATGGTCAGGCAGAACGCTCCATCACTTTTACATGAAGGGTAAAGCAGCTCTCACTTGAAGCTGCAGGAACAGCTTTAGATTGAACAGAACTTCAGATCATCCTCACCTGCAAACGCATGAGAAAGGCGGTCATAGCTTGTAAGAGCTTTGATGGAGCAAAAGACTCAGCCGCTTCGGTCAAGGGTTTCTTCCCTATTTTGTTAGATTAGGTTCTAATTAAGGACGGACCAATGGGTATTGTTAAGAAGTTGACAAGTTTTGAATCTGACTGAGCTGATTACATGGCGCATCCACAGCTGCAACAATGCTTTTCATTTTCACTTTATTTTTTAGAAAATAATCCAACATTAAACAACAATATCAAAACAAAAAAACCAACAATTTACCAAAAAAAAAGGAATAGGCTGAAGCAAAGCTTATTATTGCCTACCCTATTTTCTACTTACAACCTTTACAACCTACCAAGTTCTTTACTGCGTATATTAATATTCAATTCTACATAACATAGGATTTTATCATTTTACATTTTAAAGCCCTTTTAAAATTCACCAAGAAAGGACATAACTTTAAATCATCATTCAATTCATTCCACATTTTCACACCAATAACTGAAACACATCTAGACTTTATCTGGATTCCAATATAAACAATATTTATTCTCTCTTAACTTAAATAATTTCTGAATACCAGAAGGAAGACTTTTGTTCACTGCTTTATGCATTATTTCCAGTATTTCTATATAAACAATGTCTTTTAATTTTAATGTGTTGCTTTAAATGAAGAGTTTATCAGTTGGTTCACGGTATTCCACTTTATTAATAAGCCTTATAGCTGTTTTTTGCAACTTAACTAACTTATCAATAATTGTTTTATTTGCATTTCCCCATACTTCTGAACAATAAGACAAATAAGGCATAACCAAAGAGGAATATATAATATGCAGGCCTTTAATATTTATTAAATCTTTTATTTTGAATAATATTCCAATAGTTTTTGCAATTTCATTTCTAATATATTCTATGTGAGGCTTCTAACTAAGTTTGTTGTCTATAATAATCCCTAAAAAAATTTTCTCATAAACTCTTACAATTATAACTCCATATATACATAACTTTACATCGTTATAGACCTGATAACCAGAGAATACCATAAATTTAGTTTTCCCTTCTATAATCAAACCATGTTTTCAACTTAGCTAACTCTTTTTCTATCGTTTTTATTATTTAATCCAAATTTTTCCCAGAAAAAAATAGATTTGTATCATCAGCAAACATTATAAACTTTAAATGACTGGATACAGCAAAAATATCATTTAAATAAAGGATAAATAATATATGTCCTAGGACGAAGCCTTGAGGAAGACCAAATTTTACTATGCCTGTTTGTGACTTTGTGTTATTGCTTTGTACATATTGTAATCTATTACTTAGATAACTTTTTAACCACTGGTATGTATGTAACCCCCTGTAGGCCATACAGTTCACATTTACCCAATAGTCTTGCATGATCAATGGTAACAAATGCTTTACATAAGTCAATAAACACATCTACGGTATTAAGTTTCTGGTCAACAATGCTGCGGTGGAAAGGAATAGATAGATAATAAAGGTGTTGACCAGAACATTTTGTGGTCCAATTTAAACGTGTCACACAAGTAGAAATCACACAATTTAAAATCTATTAAATTGATCAAATGCAACTGGAGCAGGTATGGAAAGCCAAATGTGCCACAAATTTCATAAATTAAAAACTGGAAAGATCTCTATTTCCTGCCAATTCTGTCAGCTGGCCTGATCACCACCATCTCTCTCTGACAACATCCTAGGTTCTTCTTCTTTTTGATAAAGTTACTTATTGGCATTCATTATATATCACACAATGTGCACACGTCAAACTTAATGTGGTACCAAAGATGATTAAATCCATGCAGCATATAGTGTCCTAGAATAATCTGATTAAATTTCTCAAATGCACACTATAAAATGGGTATAATGAACAATTCTAAATTTGTCCAGTTGGAGTTATCCAGTGTCGGCAGGAACAGAGGTAGGAAGCGGCCAAGGATGGCCATTGGCCACCTCTGTTGCCATCCCTACCAGGGGCTTCTTTAGACTGACTAATTCAGCAATTTAAGAAGAACCATTTCCCTCAAAAAACAGTGAAATCTCCTAACTGATTTTAATTGCATAATTTGACAAACTGATAGCAGAAGTACAGCAATTAATCATTTGCATCAATATATTAACATAAAGATGACAAATACAGATTTCATGCTCTTCTCAAAACTATATTTTGTGTTTTGTGGAGGAGAAGGGAAGTTATGTCTCTGCATTTGTCAGATACATTTTATGCATATATTATGCACAGCCATAAATGATTAATTCAGACAGAATCAATGCATAAATATGTGTGTAGATTTATTTCAAAGAGCTTTGTGAAAATCTAGCCTGTTCTTGTGATTAATTTGAGAAATATGGATGTTGTACTCTTTCATGTTCCTGCTGGTAGTGTGGGATTAGTGTAGACCAGTGGTCTCCAACCCTGTTCCTCAAGATCTACTGTCCTACAGATTTTAGATGCATCCCTGCTTCAACACAGCTGAATGAAATGATTGATTACCTTTTTCAGCATGCCATCAAGTTTGATGAAGGCTTGGTTAAAAAGCCATTCATTTAATTAAGCTCTGTTGGAGCAGGGGTGCATCCAAAACCTGCAGGACAGTAGATTTGAGGACCAGGTTTGGAGACCACTGGTGTAGACTGACCCTGAACTGGTTTTGGCATCTATCAGTTTTTGGTTAAACCTTCAAGGCACATTGCTCCCTGCCTGGCAGCCCTAGGGAAATTTTTCTGGCTCCACCATGCGTGTCAGATCAATGAAAAAGCTCAATGGATCAAATATTTTATACTAACAACAAAACTTTCTTTGAGAAATGTTCAGAGTTTAGGGAGGAGAGTTTTTCTAATGTTATTTTGCATATTTATATCATTACTATTTACTAAAAGATAATTTTAAAAAAATGTCAAAGCATTTTTTCCTCCACTTTGTTTAGTCTAATTTTGCCATCTGGGTTTCATGAATGACTGAAGCAAGCCCTTGGCTGGATGTAAATGATTTTTCCGTCCAATAAATTGTCAATTCCATTTTGAACTCACTTAGCATTCTCAAACAACTTCTGAGCATCATCTTCCAAGCTGGTCCTCTGTACTGTAGTAACAAACCATCTGGCACGTTACATCATGTTATCACTCTGGCTAAAACAAAGGTAGCCATTTGTCTGAAACAAAGGAGGCGGCACAAATCTGCTGTAGTAATGTAATGGGGAACAGATCGACCACATTATGTAGAGGCAGAAAAAAACAGTATTCCTACTCATCTTTGATACATAAATGTGAAAGCAAGTATTAGCTTTAAAAATATAGTTAGCAGCAGTGGCAGCTGGCCAATAGAGGGCGCTACGGCGCTGCCCAACCCACCTGATGACCCTGATTAAGACATAAAAAAATATATATTTTTTATGATTTAATTTTAAATTAACATTTAAAACATTCCAAAATATATTTTGAGATGTGCAAGATACATATTTAATATTTAAAGAGGTACAGCATCATTCCATTTTTCGTCAGATTGGTGACATATTTCCGCCCTCGGGCGCTAAAATCTTTGCCCATTGACTCTCGTTAAAAGTTGTAAATGCGCAGTAGCTCCTCTAGAATACAAAGGTATAGGAGAGCTTGGGGCGCAGCTCTGGTGCGCCCCGAGTTGACAGGAAGTGCGTTTGCTCACCACCTCCTGACACAGTGGAGACTTTTTACGGGTGATTGACAGGTCGAGTCGCGGGAGTTGGAGAGAGAGAGATAGATGGCGCAAGAACCGTCCTTTACCAGGACCTGGTTGATCAAGAAGGCTTGGCTAACTGTATTTAGCGAGGCTTATGCTACGTTCACACCGGATGCAGCAGGAGGAGCAAAATCGCGTCTGCTGCTTCCTTTTTGCTGCTTACACCAGTTTAGTTCTGACGCCTAGCTGAAGCAGCTTTGCTGCCCTGGCTGCGCTGACCAAAAAGTGGGTCTAACGCGCGTTCGGCGGAGCTACTTTATCCTTTCTTTGCCTCTTTGCCTTGCCTAGCGTCGCGCGCGTCAGATGCTTAAACGCTCCCGACGCGCTGCTTAAGCTGCACAGACGCGCTGCGCCTGCTGCTCAAAATGCGCCGCGGGACTTTTTGCTGCGCCTTGATGCACGTCAATCATTGACTTTGCATGTAAACTCGCTACTTCTGCTGCGTCCGGTGTAAACGCAGCATAACACTTTATTCTGCTCTCCCTGCCACCTTTTTCAAATGTCAGGATCTGACCCAGCATGGATAAAAACAGGCAGGACTGATTTAAAGCACTTTTTTTGATAAACACATTCTTAGAAAATAAATACTTTTTATATATTAAAAAAATAATAATAATAAAAAAAAGCTGACTAATACCTTCTCCATTATTAAACTTGTAGATATTTTTTTTTTTATTTTGCTTTGTGACACAATATTGGACCATGCAAAACACAAGTTTATCTTCACAAAGCCATAGAAGGGCAAGATTTATGTACAAAAATTAAACTCTACATGAAATGATATTTTGTTTTCATAAAGTGTTTTTATACTGTTTTTTTGTTGTTGTTGGCATTCATATAAATATACTGGTGTGATAACTTAGTATACGTTTGATTGTTTTTTTTTATATACGTCTGTTTTGAATTCATAGATCCCCCCTGTGGGAAACTCCACCAGCCGCCAATGGTTAGCAGTGGATGCTAATTGCTGCGATAAAATGTATGATGTTTCTCTTTCAAGTTTTTTATTTAAAACCATGCAACCAAAATGGACCCCACCAACATACCTCTTTTCTCTCCAAAGTACAGAGTCTGTTGTGCAGTGTTGGACCACTGCAGCGAAGAGTTGTCGGTCTCTGTCACCGTACAGGTCAACGTCACCGTGCCACCGACGGACACCGTTTCATCTGAGGTCGTAGGCTGTAGCGGATCCTCATCTAAGCAAGAAGAGGAAGAAGACACAAAAAACAGTTAAAGTGATTGCAACACTACCCTTAATTGTAAATACAATCGAAAATAGTATCACACGGCACCCGAATCAGATAAACCCACAAACTGCGTTACTCGCCTCCCTCCCTTTTTTTTTTCTCTCAGTCTCCCACTGCCCATGTCTTTCTCTGCTTGTCAGATTATCTATACATCTCTATCTGTCTTTCTGAGAGCACAGACACAATGTGCGCACACACTGACATCTTGTCAGAGGGACAAAAAAAAGCTGACAAATGGTTATCTGGTTGTATGTCTGCAAGGCCAATGTAGGAGCAATGAGTCAGTGGCACCCAGAGCCTGAACGACCTGGGGGACTTGCAAAGATGAAGAGGCTGTGGCAGACATTGGCTCTCCACAGGTCAAACAAACAACAAAGCCAACTCATATCGCTAATGAGTTTTTTTTAACCCTTTTTCTTGATAGACACGCCAGGTTTTAAAAGGCGTTTATATGTATCAGCTGCAAGCTCAAAGTTATGGAAATGAGTGGGTCGGAGGAAACAAGATTGAGAATACAAATGACCCCCTCATAATGAAGGGATTCAGAGGGCTGGAGCTGAAACGGGAAAACTACTTATAAATGAACCGTTGGGGTGTGTAACAATATTCAAATTGGCTCAAATTATGGTATTTAACAGTGCTCCCTTGATAACGGTTGATGGTGCAGGCTAATTCTACACTGCCTTTAGTGAGGGTGGCAAATGATTTTGTGAATCAGAGCAAGAGATGTTAGCAAAATATGCAAGCCTCCATTTATAGTGAGTAATGATAAACATAACCATTGATGCACCTTTTCCAATGTTTAGGTATAGAGGCTTCGAGCTCAGTCTCCTATACTGGAACATGTTACTGACTTGCTGAAATTGCAGTAATGCTTGGGCAAAACAAAAAAAAAGGCATAAGTGAAGAAAAAAGACCAAGTCAAAGGAGGGAGCATCACATAGGAGAATACGCCTGGAGCGGTCTTCTCACCCCTTAAATACAGCGTGTATAAATAGTTTAATTGGAACCAAATTGTCAAGCAGGAGACGGGTTTATACGGAGCGTGGGGTGTTATCACATCCGCGCACGGCTGGTGGAATTGAATTTTTTTCTTTTTTTCAGAGGAAGAACATCTGCTTAAATGTGCTCCAGCAGAACTCCCATCAAGACATGAAAGAGGATGGGGAGGGGCTCACGAAGTGAGGATGATGAAGAGGAGGTGAGAAAACCATCTACATGTAGCATCAAAAACACATATTTGCCGAACATGAGCCGAGAGGCGCCTGCAGGAATTCTGGACATCTTTTAAAGATGGGAGACGGGTTCAAAATCAGAACACATCAATTATTAGAAGAGGAAAAAAACTTTCGCATTGCCTCTGGGTTGTGAAGATTAAGAGTGATAACAGCCTGTGAGGTATGGCCGCTGCTTGCCAGCAGGATCCAAAGGACTGTTAGACACCAGAAGCCACACATGTCAGGAAATCACTTTACGTTTCAGTGCAGCTCTGACCTTGTGGTAAGTTTATCAAAGCAGCGTGATTGCCGAGGCCTGAATTTGTGGTCAAGTGCCTTGTGGATTAGTGTCTCCTTTAATAGCATCCTGGTCTAATTCTTGTGGCTGATCGCATGAGCTTCTCTACTTGGCATCAACACTTTGAGCAAATTGGCTGTCCCGGGGCATCAGTCATCAAGCCAACCCACAATGAGCTGCGACAAATTACCCAAACTTATGTTGTGCCTTTGGTAGCTACTGACTGTTCCTTCTCAGAATAACTCCTGTTACATTTGTCCAAAACAAAACTCCAATTAGGAACATTTTAACAAGAGAGATGGCATTTAAGACATGATTGAGTGTATGCTTCAGGAATATTCCTAATATAATACGGCCTATTTATTATGAGGGAGCTGTCAGCTTCAGCTTTTATGATCACTTAATGAAATATGTAGATTTATGTTAGTTTTTGTTTTTCTTTCTTTAAAATGATTCTCTGAAAGTAAAACGGTGTCTTGAAAAAATATTTTTTCCAGTATTTTCTAGACTTTTTCACAACATACCCACAAATTTTAATGGTTTACAGTAAACAATTATATAGGGTTGTTGCTTTTTTTTCTAACAGAAAAATAAAAATGTGTGGCATACTTTGGTTTTAATGGGGTCCAAATTTAGTCTGTTAGGATAATAATCATTGATGATGTGTGAGTTTATTACACCTGAATATTAGCTGCCTGTTGCATGTCAGAACTGATGTTTTCCACAATAGTTTATCTAATTAAGACAGTTAAGACAGTATAATCTTCATCCTGTACGCGGCAAAGCTTTGGAAATGGAATGAGAGCGGTGTCCTTCAGCTAAGAACAAAATGTAATATTTTGATAAGGCTGGAGACATGGATGTCTCCTCATCTGCTAAAGTGTATGATGTAAAATGTGATGATTTCGCAGACTGGAGATGTTTAAAATGCTTCTTTAACTGTTTATTGGGGCCACTTCCAAAGAAGTGAGCCCGCTTGGTAAGCAGCTGCCTTCTGTAACTCAAAGCAACTTCTACAATCTGAGCAAAATTACAATTTCTATCAAAATCTGTTGTCATGTCTTGTGGTTATTTAATACATATAAATTATGAAGTGTTATTTGAAGAGTTTGTTCAGAATGATCTATTTTCAGGAAAAAGAGCCGGAGAGAGAAAGCTCCAAGGTGCAGACACAGAGAGCCTCTCTTTAACAGTCCGACCACCTATTGCTGCAATTACAGCTTCAAATCATTCAGGTTAAGTCCCAATCAGATTATCTAGAGACTGAAATTGTTCCTCACTCTTTGCAAAACTGCATCAGAAGGAGTCAGAATTAAAAAACAACAGTTTTCAAAAATGTTTAAAGATTTTCAATGGATTTTGAGTCTGGAGTTTGATTGAGAACTTTTAAGTGTTTTGCAGCCTCAAAGAGACTTTCTTCATATATAAACATCACCACAGCATGCAGCTGATATCACCATGTTTTCCAAGGTGATAGTTATTCAGGGAAACATGTGATATTAATTGACCGGCCTAGTATAGTTTTTATTTTGCATGTACTGTAGGCAAAAACTGTACATTCTGCTTTGATGAACCAGTGTGTGTTTTTCCTTGGTTCACTGTGTTCCCATCATTGCTGGTAACAAGCAGTGAGGAAGACTTTTTAAGGCTTTATTTGGTGCATTTCTTCTTTCCACTCATCTGTAAAAGTCCTATTATTGGATCACATGCCTAAGAGTTGTTCCGTTGACAAATTCTCCAATCTGGCCTGTTAATCTGTGCATTCCTTCTAAAGTTATCACAGTCCTCTTTGGTGCTTCTTTTCCACAGGATTCCTTACATGAATGCTTGTGGATATCAAGAGAAAAAAGTTGTCATGTTGCTGTCAGATTAACAGAGATTAGGCGTAAATTTAATCGGGTTCTCTAACAAAGTTTTGAAATGAATTTTAATCTTAGCTCTAAATGGTTTTGCGGTCGAAGAAGCAAAAATCTGAAAGCAGAGGTTAAATCTCATTCATTTAATAGCAGCATGTCTGAGCAAAGCATTCAGGTTTTATCAACTCCAGCTCTACTCCTCACCTAAAGATCAGACTGCAGCTCGTCACAGGACTTTTTTTTTTCTTTTTTCAATTAATGTACGCTAATAAATAAAAGGTTAATCTTCCTCAATGGACTCATAAAAGCTGAAACAATTTAATGATGATGAAATGGCCCTCTGCATATTAAATCTGAAGGTCCATTAATGCATACAAATCATTCAGAAGTTAGGCAGCATATGAAGATGGCAACTTTGTTAGCTCTAACGGTCAAAAATTAATCAAAGATAAATTCTGTCTTAATTAAGCTGGAGCACAGTGTGGGTAGAATCAAACCACATTAGGATAATTTATCAAACACTGCAAAATGTTTTAAATGGACTTGAGCCATAGCTTATGAGATGGGATGGGTGGAGTCAGCAAGGTCCAGATATGAGTGGGAGCCACACAGATTTTTAAGTTCATAAAAAGTTTGTTTGTTTGCAAACTTTATAGGCTGTAAGTGCAAAGGAGGAGCATCATCTGCCTTTTCACAGAAATGTTCAAAAGTCATGGCTGCATTGGGTACAGATGTAGAGCTGTTTGTTTATTTGAGGAGCCCAAACAGCAAAGTTTAAGGAGTGGACGGAAGTTCAGTGTTAGTTTAATCTGGCTCAACTCTCAAGCTGCAAAAATAAGAGGTGCAACCTCTCCATCCTTTGCAGATGTTGAGGTTCAGCGTTGGCCTCTTTTATTCTCTCTTTAAATCCCATTTCTTCATCTCCAACTAAAGCTGTAAGCCAGAGGAAGACACGGGTATTTAAAGCAAGTCAATTTACACCCTCCCTATAGCCAGCAACAAGGTGAGAGAACGCAGAGGTAGAAGGCTGACTGGGATATCAAACGAATCGAGGCAGGGAGGGAGCGCCAACAGACAGGGAAAGATGGATGGATAAGGGTATGCAGAGGAGGCTGGGTGGCAAAACGAGGTGGGAATCCGGGACTGTGTGAAAAAGGAGGGAGGGTAGAGGAGTGAGACAACAGAGGGAGCATGAGGAGCTTGAGGGCTCTCCAGCGTCGAGAGACTGAAAAATATAAAGACAAGATTTTTACTTTGAAAAGAGGATTATTTGTTTCTGTTTCTTTTTTTTATCAGAGTTAGATAAGACGACTTCATACAGTATGAGTATGTTTCCTAAATGTCCTCTCCTCTTCATACAACACAAAGGTATATAAATTTGCTCTATTTGATTTTATTCTAATGCCTTAACAATTACAACGGAGAAGCACATTGAAGGATCGTCGCACATCAATACATGCAACTAAAAAAAGAATAGTGAAGCATTTATGGTAAACAGCCTGTGCTTCTTTAGCATCATCAAATCTGAGGATTCGACAGTGCTTTACATTATAAACAGTAATTCCCTTATATTCTAAG